GGGAAAGATGGGGAGCGAGCGGGGTTTCTCTCTCTCTATATATATATACATATAAATTAGCCGGGTGGGTGTCAGTTCCCTCTGCCCACACCCAGGGTCCGGCGCGGGGTGTGGGAGGCACAGCGGGGGGACGTGGGGAGACGTGGGGGGACGTGGGGGTCCCCCTCAGGGCTCAGCAGGGTCGTACCTCCCAGCTCTGCTGAGTGCCCTCCTGGGCAATGTCCCCTGTCCCCCCCGGCGGGGACGTGATCTCCCCTGGCTGTGCCACCCCCTGCGCTGGAGACATGAGGTCTGTCCCTCCGGCTTGGCAGCCAGCGGGATGGATCCCTTACCGGTTGTGCAAGGGACAGGCGAAGGCCCCATTTCATCTCGCTCCCCTCCCCGCTCTGTCCACCCGAGTGGCCAAGCTGAGCCAGATGACCTTCTCTCTCCAGGCCAGCACCTCCAGCTCGTAGCACCAGCCTGGCAGGGTTGTCACCCGTGCCCTGGCACTCCGGGATGTGTTGCGGCGAGTCCGAGCACCAGCGGGCATCAGGGGGCTGAGATTCACCTGCCAGGAGGGATGGGGTCCCCGTGGTACCCAACCATGAGATGGGCTGGCTCTGCTGCACTCCGGGTGGATGGATGGCAGGGCAGCCTGGAGGAGCTCTGCCCAGCTCCAGCTTCCTTTTGCAAAGCTAAAAGCTTAATTTTGGCCAGCTGGGGGAAGGTGGTGCCTCCACTTAAGTGGTAGCAGCAGCCTCCTCTTCCTCAGCACAGCTGCACACAGGGCTGCTCGCTGCATCCCCTCGGCTTGGCGTGGCCCGGGACAGCAGGGCAGGGACAGCCAGTCCCTATTAAATAGCAAACCCCCCCCAGCCCCTTTTACTTCTCCCTCTGGGTGGCAGGTGGGTGCCATGGGGCTTGTTGCTTGGAGACTACGGGGCTGATTTTCCGCAGGATTAAAAAGCAGGATTTGGGTGCTGGGCAAGGCAGGGGCACGGCTGCGAGCCGGGAGGAGCGTGGGGAGGCAAACAGCTCCAAATCCAGCAAAGCCCTTGTGAACAGAGCACAAGGGAAAACTTGCAAGCGCATCGAATTTTCTCGCTGTGCCAGATTTTGTCACTGGCAAAGGCGCCCGTGAGGAGAGGCCCAGCACGGTGCGCCCTGCCAGGCAGGAGAGGTCGCTCCCACCATGGCACCCACCGCTTGAGCTGGGGCTTTTCGAGTCTGCAGGGCCAGCACGGATAAAAACCTGATGGAGGTTTTGTGTCTGGGGTATAGGAGGGTTGGAAGGTGGGAACGAGGCAGAAAATTGTTGTATTTTTCTCCATGTGTTTCAATCGTATCAGTTTCTAGCTAGCTTGGCTGCCTGTCTGCGCTACCCTCCTTGTTTTCCTAGCGGCAGATTATTTGGGATAACTTTGGGAGCTGGAGGGAAGCGCAGACTTAAATGTGTGCGAGTTAGTGCGCATTGCAAAAAATCCTGCACAGCTGTAGTTGGGGCAAAAGGCCAGTTGGCTTCTCTGCCAAAAAACCTGCTTACATTGCCTTGGTGTCCCAAACCCGTCAATGTTTAGGTGAAAACACTGGATCCCGCCTCCCCAGCACCATCCGGCTGTAAATGTGCTTTCGGGTTTGTGGCACGGTGGTGGTATGTGTCCCTCTGGAGAGACGGGGTTTCTCTTGGTTTAATTCTGGGTTTTGCCAGTGGGATTTTGCCAGCGAGAGGCACCGTTTGGGTTGACTCGCCACAGCCCAAGAAATGGTCAAAAAGGGGGAAAAGCGCCTTTGTGTACAGATGGCATCTGCTGCGCTGTGCGAAGGTGGATTTGGGGTTTCTGCTCCGTGCTCTGCCTGGCCCTGGAGAGCCCAGGGGCCGGTGGGTGGCCTAGTGGGACATCCTGAGCATCCTCCTTCTAGCTGGCCAAGGTGGGCTGCAGCGTTGGGATGGCCGAGCATCCAAACCAGGAGTGGGCTTGGGATAGATTTTGGGAGTCACCTGCCAGCCTTGAGTCCAAGATTTCACCTGGTCTGTTGCATCCTGCCGGCCCCACCAGGACTCTGGTACCTCTTGGCTTCTCCATACAAGAACTTCTCACCACCACCATGCCTGGTCCTTGCAGCCACCCAGACCTGCAAGGTGGCAGCTTCCAAGTCACTGGTTTTCTTCATGTGACGTCCCAGCCACGTCAAGACCAGCAACTTCCACTGAATCTGTCAGCTCAGAGTGCCCTGGGGTATCTCCCCTTCCTGCAATTTGGGGCCAAATCCTCGACTCCTTCCAGCTCTTGGAGTCCATGTTAGGGCAGGCCACAAGCAGGGTCTGATACATCCTTCACCGTCATTTGGGGTTGGATGGTGACTCCCGCCTTTGCTGGCTGGACTTCAGACACTGCAGTATAGCTGTGCGGGGGGACCCATCCTTTGCACGGAAAGCTGAGCTGGAAGGATTTTTTTTTTTTTCCCCCCATCTGGCCAGGAGGGGAGAGCAACAAAAATGCCTTTCATCACCCTCGTCATCCTCGCTCTGGAGGAGAGAGCACAGTACGTGCTGTGGGAAGGATGAGTGACAGCTCGGTAAGAAGCTGTTAAGCCCTGCACTTGGGGGGTGTTGCTGGAAGTCACCCCTGGAGCAACGGGAAACCTACAGAGCGAGTGCCTGTGTAAATATATAGATAAGAGATCTATAGGCTCCTCTGGCTGGAGCTGAAGTGTGTTGCACCGAAATAGCACTCAGGGGCTGGCTGGTGGTGTGCACCGGGAGTCCAGCCGTCCTGCGGGGCACGGGGAGCATCTTCTTCTCCGGCATCCCTGGACCGCAGGGCTGGGGGCTGCTGGGGGACGCCCCCAACACGGGGACGCGGCAGCGGAGAGGGCTGGCAGGGCTGGAGTCATTGTTCTTGGAAGAAGCCAGGACATTTGGAGAGAGGAGACGTGTCCTTTCCAAAGGTGGTGGCGAGCCGACGCGCGGCGTGGGAAGGAAGGAAGGAAGAGTGGAAAAGTGTGAGAAGAGTCGGTCACCCTTCGGATTTTGGACGGGACTCCCGTTAATGGGCGGAAGGCGGTTTCCAGTGCTGTGCGAGCGCTGGGCGCCCTCGGCCGCACATAGTTTTGCTTTTGCCTCCTCCCCGCAGCTCTCAGGCTGCCTTCGGCCCCGCACCCCTCCTCCTCCTCACCACCACCTGGACATTTTCAGCAGTTGAGCTCCCTCCCGTCTGCCGGGGGCCGGGGGGAAGTGCACAGCCGGAGCCCGCCCGAGGTTCTCCGGCTGGTGGGGAATGGTGGGGAGGAAGGAAGGGATGTTCCCTGGGGCTGGGAGGGGAGAGAGGGCTGCAAGAGCCACCCCGGGTGACAAGGGTCCCTCTCCGGCCACTGCAGCAGATGGCTAAAGGCTCTCGCGCTGAGTGGAATAACCTCATCCTACAGCACAGACCAGGGTGGAGAGGAGAGGGAGGTGGTCTCTGCCTTTTGGGTGGGATGTCACCCCAGGTTGAGTGATGATGAGCCCCATTTGCAACGGTGCCTGCAGAGCTGGGTTGCAGAGCTGTAGGGTCCGTCTGTCCGTCCGTCTGTCCGGGCTCTGTGTGGCTGTGTGAGCAGGGAGCTGTACAAGGGGGTTCTCTGCAATTTCCTCTGGCCCGCTGGAGGCTTCGGCGCTCTCCATCCGTGTGATAAAAATCAGATGTGAGGAGCAATTATTACCCTCCTGCCATCCCCGTTAGTCTCCTGAGGGATTCATTCCCAGCAAGCTCCGGTGGAGCAGCCAGGGAAAGGCAGGGACTGGTGGGCAGGGGCAGAGGAGGTGCAGGGGATGGGGGTCCAGAAGGTGATGCTGGGAGCAGATGCCAGGCGGGGGGTTTCAGCTCGGGGGGCTTTCACCCTGCAGCACCCCATGGCCAGGAGGGATGCTCGTGTCCGGAGTGGGCAGCAAGGGATGGGGATACCTGGGACCAAAATCCCAGGGGACACATCCCAGCACTGGTCCCAGCTACACAGGAGTGTATCCGGC